GCCCTGGGGGTTGCTTGCGATGTTGACCCTCCTCCTCCTCCTCCTCCTCCTTACCCCTCCTCCTCCTCCTTACCCCTCCCCCCATCTCCTTCTCCTTCTCCTGCGCTTCCCCCGCGAACCGTTTCGACCCAGGGGGGCCGCGACCACGTTCTCCCGGTCGCGAGTTCTCCCGTACGGGCGGCCCCGTGCAGCTCGCGTCGCGCGCGCGCGGCACGGAGCACAGGCAGGGCACGGGTGGGGCAGGGGGCTCGCTCCTGCGGTTGTGGTCGCACCTGGGTGCGCTCTCCGATATGCTCTGATATGCTCCCTTCTCCACCGCTGCCCATGCTCCCCCCTCCCCCCTCTCATGACGCATCGGTCCCCCGCCCTCCTATTCGCTGTGCTTCCCTCTTCGCCCTCCCCCCGCCCTTCCCGCCCGGCTCCAGTGTTGCATATGTGTACGCGCATACATTTATTGAGAAGCAATTTCAAAGCACAGTCCCCTCCCCTCTCTCTCCCTCGGGCCCGTGTCCTTTTACTCTTCCTCATCCTCGTCGCTGGCGCCCTCCTGTTCCTCATCTTCCCCCATCCCCCTCGTTGCCATTACCGCCGTTTTCAGATCCGCATACACATACGTACTTACATACATGTATATGTATATATGTCTGTCTGCCTGTCAGTCAGTCTGTCTGCCTGTCTGTCTGCATGGATGTATGTACGTCTGCATGCATGCATGCATGCATGCATGTATGTATACACGTATGTATGTATGTATGTATGACTGCATGCATGCATATATGTATGTATGTATGCATGTATGCATGCGTGCATGCATGTATGTATGTATGTATGTAGGTATGTATGTATGTACGTATGCGTGCATTTATGTAAGTATGTATGTATGTAAATATGTATATATGTATGTATGCATGCATGCATGCATGCATGCATGCATGTATGTATGTATGTATGTATGTATGTATGTATGTATGTATATATGTATGCATACATGTATGTATGTATGTATGTATGTATGTATGCATGTTTGTATGCATATATGCATGCATGTATGTATGTCTGTATGTATGTCTGTATGTATGTATGTATGTATGTATGTATGTATGTATGACTGTATGCATGTATGCGTACATATAGGTATGTACGTCTGCATGCGTGCATGCATGCATGCATGTATGTATGTATGTATACATGTGTATGTAAGTATGTGTATATGTATGCATGCATGCATGTATGTATGCATGTATGTATGCATGCATGCATGCATGCATGTATGCATGTGTAGGTATGTCTGTCTGTCTGTCTGTCTGTCTGTCTGTATGCATGCATGCATGCATGCATGCATGCATGCATGTATGTATGTATGTATGTATGTATGTATGTATGTATGTATGTATGTATGTATGTATGTATGTATGTATATAGGCGTAAATGCATGCATGCATGCATGCATGCATATGTATGTATGCATGCATGTATGTATGAATGTATGTATGTACGTATGTACGTATGTACGTATGTACGTATGTACGTATGTACGTATGTATGTATGTATATAAGTATGTATGTATGTATGCATGCATGCATGCATGTATGTATGTATGTATGTATGTATGTATGCATGCATGTATGTATGTATGTATGTATGTGCGTGTATGTATGCATGCATATAGTTATGCATGTATGTATCCATGCATGCATGCATTTATTTACGCATGTGCGCATGCGTGTATGTATATGCACGCATCTATATATATATATATATATATGGGTATATACGCACGCATGTATGTATGAGCGAATGCATGCATGCGTGCATGCATGCATGTGTGTATGTATGCATATATATACACATATATACATATATATATATATATATATATATATGTATATATATATATATATATCCTCCGCGACCTCTCGGGCCGCAGGAGGCTCAGCGCGAGACGAAACCAGAGCCCGCTGCTGGCAAGGCGCAGCCGCCGGCCGACGCGGCCGCCAGGGGGTCGCCGGGGGCTGCGGCCGTGCCGGCCGCCGGGTGGCACGGCGGCCGGGCCGCCCGCCGGGCACGGCGGCGAGCGCGGCGGCCGCCAGCTCGGCTTGAAGTCGCCGCTCGGTGGGGCGGCTGCCGCCACCTCCTCCTCCTCCTCCTCGTCCTCCTCCTCCTCCTCCTCCTCCTTCCTCCTCCTCCTCCTCCTCCTCCTCCTCCTCCGTACTCCACCTCCTCCTCGAGCTTCCACCGGGCGGCCGATGCGGCCGATGGCGGCGGGGCTGCGACGGGCGGCCGCGGCGGGCGCGGCCGCGCCGCCAAGACGGCCAAGGCCCCCGCCGCATCCTCGGGCCGCCTGCGGGCGCGGCCGCAGGCAGCGCGGCGCGTCCGCGGCGGCCTCGCGGCCGCCGGCCAAGCGCGCCAAGCAGTGAGCTGCTCGTTCGCCCCGGCAAGCCCGTCGCAGGCAGGGCGGGGCGGGACGGGCCGGGACGGAGGGAGGACGCTGTGGAGGACGAGGAGCGTGGATGCGGGATTATGCCAGCGCGCCCCCAGGTGTGGGGCCCGCGGCTAGGGTGGCGGTGCGCCGTTTTCTGGCTGCGGGCGAGGCGCGCTACAGGAGGCGGGCGTCGCCCACCATCGGCCGTTGTAGCGGTGGGCGGGGTGGCACCTGGCCGAGCGGCGCGCGTGTCGGATGCGGTGCTTACCATCCTGGCACTCTTCCAGGTCCGTGGTCGCCATCCGCAGGCAAAAGTCCTCCTCCTCCTCCTCCTCCTCCTCCTCCTGCTCCTCCGCCCCCCCATCCCCGTCCCTCTTGCCCACTCCTCCCGCCCTCTCCCTCCTCCTCCTCCTCCTCCTCCTCCTCCTCCTCCGCCCTCCTCCTCCTCCTCCCCATCTCACTCCTCCTCCTCCTCCTCCTCCCCTCCTCGTCCTCCTCCTCTCCTCCTCCGCCCCCCCCCCTCCCCGTCTTCTCGCCCACTCCTCCCCCCCTCTCATTCCTCCTCTGCCTCCTCCTCCTCCTCCTCCTCCTCCTCCTCCTATTCCTCCTCCTCCTCCTCCTCCTCCTCCGCCTCCTCCTATCTCTCACTCCTCCGTTCTCTCCCTCTCCCTCCTCTTCCCCCGTCTCCCCGCTCAGCTCTCGTCGCCGACGCCCCCCCCCCTGGTATAGTCGCCGGTGGTTCTCCGCTGCCGCCGCCGTATCGCGGCCCGTGCCCAGCAGCCGCCGCCAGGGCATCGGGGGGCCCGACGGGCGCGGGCGGGGGGAGGGCGGTGGAGAGCGGGGAAGATTAGGGGGACGAGGGGAAGGACGATGACGAGAGTGCGAACGCGTACTCAGGGGATGGCGTGGTTCGAGTATGGTTCGGGCGCGATTCGGATCGTGGTGTTCGAGCGTGGCTCGGCCGTGGTTCGTGCTTGGTTCGTGCGTGGCTCGGGCGTGGTTCGGGCGTGGTTCGGGCGTGGTTCGGAGCGTGGTTCGGAGCGTGGTTCGGAGCATGGTCTGGAGCGAGGTTCGGGCGTGGGTCGGACGGTGGTCGTGAGCACGGTTCGAGCGTGGTTCCGACGTGGTTCGGGCGTGTTTCGAGCGTGATTCGAGCACGGTTCGAGCGTGGCTCGGGCGTGGTTCGGGCGTGCTTCGGGCTTGGTCCGAGTGTGGTTCGGGCGTGGTTCGAGCGCGGTTCGGGCGTGGTTCGGGCGTGGCTCGGGCGTGAATCGGTGCGCGGTTCGGGCGTGGTTTGGAACGTGGTTCGGTACGTGGTTCGGGGCGTGGTTCGGGGCGTGGATTGGGCGTGGTTCGGAACGTGGCTCGCGCGTGGATCGCGCATGGTTCGCGCGTGGTTCGTGCGTGGTTCGCGCGTGGTTCGGAACGTGGCTCGCGCGTGGTTTGCGCGTGGTTCGTGCGTGGTTTGCGCGTGGTTCGCGCGCGGTTCGCCCGTGGTTCGCGCATGATTCGTGTGTGCTTCGCGCGTGTTTCGGAGAGTGGTTCGCGCGTGGTTCGTGCGTGGCTTGCGTGTGGTTCGAGAGCCCCAACAAACGGGCCCAGAACGCCCTGGAGGAGTTCCAAAGAGAACTTGTTCTGCCGCCACCCCAAGTCATCATTCTACTGATGCTGGTAATGGTACTGGCAAAGGTGTTGATGACGATGATTAGGCCTCTGCTGATGAATATCATGATGGTGATTCTGGTGGTGATGGTGAGGATTGTGAATGTGACTGTGATGACGGTGATGATGATGACGATGACGATGACGATGCTGCTGTCGATGATGATACTGCTGATGAGGATGATGCTGGCGGTGGTGGTGATGATGATGTTGGCGGCGGTGCTGATGCTGATGTTGGCTTTGTGGATCATAGTGATGACGATGCTGATGTGCAGATAACGGTGAGGATGGTGCTGGTGATGGTGATGGTGACGATGATGATGATGCTGATAATGGTGATGATGAATCTGATGCTTATGATGATGATGCTGCTGATGATGATGCTAATGCTGATGCTGCTGATGATGATGAGGATGATGATGTGGATGCTGCTGCTGCTCATGGTGACGATGCTGGTGGCGATACTGGTGATGGTGATGACGATGCCAATTATGATGTAACACTTTTGGCGATGATGTGGATGATGATGATGGTGTTGATGACGGTGATGCTGCTGCTGTTGAATAATGAGATTGTGGATATGATTTTTATGATGCTGCTGATGGTGATGATGGTGATGTTTTGGATGATTATGATGACGACGATGATGATGAGGATGCTGATTATGCTGATGGTGCCTTTGTTGCTGCTGCTGACGCTGCCGATGCTACTTGTGATGGTGATGGTGATGATGGTGATGATGGTGGTGATGCTGCTGCTGATGATGTTGATGATGATGATGCTGATGATGATGATGATGATAATGATGGAGGTGATGATGATGACGATGATGACGATGAAGAGGATTATGACGTCATTGACGATGACGATGACCATCACGCTGAAGACGACGATGATGATAATGATGATGCTGAT